TGATACTGTAACTTCCCTTGGTTTGGATACCATATGCTGATACATCCTGAAATTTCATTTGTTTCAGTCCACCACTCTCCCTCTTTGTTTGCTTTTACATATTTGTCCATTTCTGTCTGTCTACTAGGGCTGGACAGGAGCCCCCATTTATAGTTTGTGCCTGAATAAAGGGCACATAAATTGGGGCTGTGATGCCCTGTGACTTTTTGCTGACCTTTTGAATCAGTTCTTGCCTGGGTCTGGAGTATGTGAGTATTTCTGATTCTCCATGACAATCCCATTCTTCTGAATGGGGAAAATGGAAACTACAGGGCAAGTTCATAGATGGAATGATGCAAACCAATGAAAGAAAGCAGTGATTGTCTGTGTAGCTAGGACCCTATGTTTTATTTTTATTTTTGTCCCTTTTGCCAGCCTCCAGGAGAAGCCCTCTCAGATTCTTAAGGCAGTCCTTGTCAAGGGAAAATAAGGGACTTTGAAATGGCAAGGGGTAGTGTCATTTTTCTGAAGAGAAGTGGTGGCTCTGAGGGTTACACTGCAGAAGCCTCTGTGCTGCAAGGTCAGAAGACCAGCCGTCATAAAATCGAATCCATGTCTAGGGGGAGAACTTTTTTTAAACTTAAGATGACCTAAGGTTAAAAAAAGAGCAGGAAAGTTTTTTTTTCCTGTTCTTATCTTGGATTTTTGTTCTCAAGTAGAAGCAAAATTTAGCAAATGGAGCTGTTCTTAAGTGGAATTGTTCTTAAGTAGGGACGTTCTTAAGTAGAGACCCCACTGTACAGACAAAAAGCTGGCTCTACGCCTTGGAGACAGGGATGAGCACCACACCCTAGAGCTGGACACAACTGGACTAAATGTCAAGGGCAACCTTTACCTTTACCTTAGTGTCATTTTAATGCCTTTTTGAAAAGCAATGCAGTGAGCTCCCATTTCCATTCGTTCTCTCGGCCCCCACCCTTCCTGTTCCCTGTACGTGTAGCAATGCGACTTTAATGGATTACCGGATGACTTTGCATCAGGACAGGAAAGGCAAATCAGACAGTACAATTTTATAGTCAATGGGACTGCATCCTCTACCAAAATGGAGGGTAAAAAACAGGCCCCGCAGCAGATAGCATTGCCCTCTAACATCTCCCACCTCCCTCATCCCATGCCCTTGTTGCCTGAGGCACCCATCAATCTCTTTTTCTCTCTGCCAAATTGTAGGGACAATCTTGTACAATAACAGGATTTCTACAACAAGAAATACTATGTGATCTCGAATATTTAAGCAGTATTTAGGCTAGAAGGTTTTAGCAGAATCTTGGTTTCCTGGAAACAATATTTTTGGGCACAGTATACTCCCCAGATTGAATATAACTAAATAGGAAGAGCATACATCAGAAGATCCGAATTGAGTAGTGGGTGCATTGTACAGGTTTTATTACAAAAAAGAAAACATTTGGACCACAATTTTATTGGTAAAGAATAATTGTATTCCATGAAAAAAAATTCATGTGTATTAAAAACGGGTTCACTTCAATTATTTTATAACAGCTAACAAATACATTGTTTCTTAATACATGGTTTCTTAAATATATTTCTTAGAGTTGCCACTTTTTAACATGACACATTCAGAGCAGTCCTGTCAATGGAGCAATAGAGTAGACTTCCTGTACAAGAGGGGAAAGGATGAAATATCAGTTTATATGCACTAAGTGAAAAGGATGGGCTTGTGAGCACGGAGTCACTTCTTGCCACATGGCTTCAACAATTTGAAATTATTAAAATGCATTGGAAAAGAGCTCATCCATGGTAATTGTAACTCCTGGACCAAAGATGGAGAACATGTGGCTGAACATAATCTCTCATCAACCATAACCAGAGTTACTAGTAGCGAATGATTAAGGGAACTCTTCTTATCTGAGAACCACACGTCTCCAGTCCCTATCCTGCAAGGAAATTGTAAAGGATGTGCACAAAAGAACAAAATGCACATGTTGTATTCATAAAATGTATATGTTGTTGAAGTTGCTGAAGCTTCTTCTTCATCATCGTCTTCTTCCAGCACCCTCAGTTTTCTCCCTCAAATACATCATTGAAAAATTGAATGCCTGGAAAGCTTAAATTCAAGGAGTGAAATTTTGATTTCACAAAATTATAGCCCTACACTCTGTCCAATACCTGTTGTCTAAATGTGGGGAAGAAGTAAATTGTACAAGCACCTCCCCACTCTGGTAGGTGCCCTGTCTTGTGCCCATTCTTGCAATGGTTGCTGGTCCTGCAACGGGAAGCCTGCTGGAGCAAGGGGGACAACTGGATGATTTTTCTTCCACTCCACATTTAGGCAAGAGAATTGTAGCCTCTGTGTTTATAATAAATTTTCTATCCACAGTATTTCTAAGAAAAAACCCAAAACATACATAACCTCTCTATATTGTGAGCAATGGTAACCCTAGAGCTATATGACCCTTGTTGTTCTTTATGGGAATAATCCTTAGTGAAAAGAAAACAGCTGTACAATTGTCACAAATATTTGGTTATAATGAGAAGTATTTTAGAGGATTTTGAAATCAAAGGGAGATGCTGTGTTATTTATAAATTATTACATGAAGTGGACATAATGTAATGTGAACTTTGGTCATAATATAAATAAGATACGTGCTGATTATCTGCGGTTACATGCACATGGCTCTAAGAGGGTTCCAGTCTGGGTAGCTTACCCGTCCAGATGTTATAAACTTGCATGATACAGCACAGCTGTTTCTCATGTCTTTGGGCCATATTTTATGTTGATGGCAGGTTATGTTGAACTTTTCTAGAGATCTGGGCCTTGGGATAAGACTATAATCCAAAGCACACCTACAGTTCTACAGCTAATACATCTGACAGAGCTTTTATGAAGGAACAGAAGTGTACACATGTTCATATGTGGATTTAAATATTCTTTCAAGAATGAAACTGACCAAATAAAATGGAGGAATAATTTCTTCTCTGATCAAAACAACATTTGCTTCCCTCAAGCATCACAACATTTTTATCCCACTCCATAAAGAGCTAAACATCAGCCACATCATTTTGCTTTGGTGCCAATCTCCGCTTAAAGTCGGAAAGCTTGCCTCCTCCCTTGTGTGCCTGCCTGGAACTTAGGATCCTCAGCAGAGGCCCAGTTGTAGGTTCTGTCATTCCAAGAAGCTGGATTGGTGAGTACATGGGTCAAATTTTTATCTGTAGCAACCCTTCGATTGTAGACCTGCTGCCCAAGGAAAGCTGGGCTGGCTTCAACCTTGTTGAGCAGCTGAGAATTTACTGTTTTGTAACTGGCATGTGGTTAACATTAAATAAATATAGCAAGTAAAAACCCAAACTAATAATTTAAACAGTTTTAAAATAATTTAAAAATCATTTAAAATTTTTACTTCTATACATTATCTGTCCTTATTTACATTTGTTTGGGAGCCCTTGTAAGCACATGAATGAGAAATAAATGTTATATAACCGAATAATAGTAAAAGTAGTGAGAGCTGGGTGCCACAGCTGGAGATCTGCAGTTTAGTCTAGGTAATGTGCACACTGAGCTGAATTTCCATGAACATCTGGTTTTACTGGCAACAGTGCTTAATATATGTACAGTGGACCCTCTACTTAAGGAATTAATCCGTATTGGAATGGTGGCTGCAGGTCGAAAAGTCTGTAAGTCGAATCTCCATTGACCTACAATGCACTGAAAACCGATTAATCCCATAACCAGTGGTTTTTATTCTATTTTTATTCCATTTTGGTTTTTTTCTGGTCTGTAAGTCGATTCTCTGGCTGCAAGTCTAATCTAAATTTTGCAGCCAGAGAAGTCGGTAACTCGAAAAGTCTGTAAGTCGAGCCGTCTGTAAGTCGAGGGTCCACTGTAGGTTGCTATTGTAATGAAGGCTAAGTAACAAGGAACTTTTTGGCCATGTATGAACAGCCAAAGCTTATTCCACCCCCATGTTGTACTCTGTGGGTACCATATTTGTGGGTCAAAAATTTCAGTAAACACACAATACCTATATTGTTAGGTAAAGTAGGGTACATTTTGCAGAAGAAAGGCATCACACAGAGACAACATTTGTAAGTAGGGAATACCTTATAATCCCATTTCTCTTTTTTTAAATGCATGTATATAATTATACAGTACTACCACCAATATTCTACATGCCAAGATTTTAAACTGTGATGCTAATTAAGATTGCCAACGGGGTTGAATGGGAGATTGCTGCTTTCCCCCCTTATTCACACACTTTTATTCTTCATTTCTGACCTCGCATTTCCTGTGCAACTATCCCATTTGTAGGTATTTAGTATAATGGGGTCTTTCATGTTGTTTTTGTCTAATGCCTTAAGCTTTTCTCTCACTCCAAAGCCCCAGAAATATAGGAAATTGCAAGTTCCAGTGATTAGGATGTTCATGAAGATCATAAGCCATTGTTTTGCTGGTAGGTAAGGAGCAATTCTATTGTTCACAAAGACAGAGAACCCAATTTCCCCCTCCTTTTAAAACATCTTATGCCATTGATCTGAAGGAATGAGGCTTGCAGCAGGGAAACATCCTGCATGGAATAATACTGAGGATGTGGGTCAATATACTCTTGTCTTTGACCATAATACTGTGTATGCTATTTTGCTGAGGGCTTCTCTATCAGAGACAGCCAAAAATGGTTTAGAGTACTAAGCTGTGTCCCTAGAATATAGTTTTTGACAAAACAGGGAATATTTCTGAGAATGTGCAAAGTTACTTCTGACAGTAATGGGCAACTACAGTCTGTCTTTCCCCACCCCTTAGGATTATTGTCTCCCCACAATTAGGACTGTAGGAGAAGTTTCTACCATGTGATCTTAGAGAAGCCTGACAGAGTCTTAGGACCTCTCCCTCAATGCTGGCACTCACTCACCATATTGTTGTGTTCACTCTTCCTGTACCTTTGTGGACAGCAAGCTTTTATCTTTCTCTCGTTTTGAACTGTTTGAAGAGTTTGGAGGCCCTGCATAGGAAAGCACAACATAAAGCTGCCTACAGGCCCCTGGAAGAAATGAATATGTCAGGCTTGCTTTGATCTTTGTCTCTAGGGAACTTTAGGGACATTTGCCACTTCATGTCTAGAGATGATGCTATGGGATAAAGATGGATTTAAGTCAGCTAAAATTAATTGCTCCATTCTACCTACAAAATAACCCCAAGGTGCAAAGCTATAGAGCCTAAACAAGCATTGATACCAAGTTTCAGGCATCCAGATTTCATAGTCTTGGAGCTATGATGGAAACAGGCTCCTACACACGCATTGCCTTCTGTCATATAATCAATGGTTTACAGTACCAGACAAAACTATTGCCTTGCTTTACATGTAGTTCCTAGAAACTACATCTCTTCAGCATCAGTCATCCTTTGTACTCTACCTCATCTTTACACTCTGCAGTTTGTATTGTGCCCCTCATTTTTTTTGCTGTGATCCTTCTTTTTTTTTTTTCTTGCCTTCAAAATCATCACCAGCTTTGGCCAAATTTGATTCCTCATGTTTCACCTGGTGAAGACTATATGAGTAGGTACAGTAACATATTCTTTCTCAGTTGAATTTAGGGCTGAGTTCTAGTTGGGGGTAGATCAATTTTTAGTGTTTTAAATTCAGGATCCACTAAATGTCATTGGGTGCTGGATACAGATTGCCTGGAGACAAGACAGACATAGGGGTTGTTAGTATTCTTTGCTATACCAGAAAGTACCTGGTGTGAAACTCAAGTTTTTAGAATATTTCAAACTGGGCTTTTTTAAAGAATGGGAAATTCCTTAAACAATTGTCAGAATTGGAATCAACTGACATCTTAGTGCGTCAGAGACTTTGCACTTAAAAATCTGGATTGGTAACAGATCTGCATCACAGGTTATCATGATGCTATAGGCGAAGCCATTCAACCAGGAAATAGCATGTGTCCTGTCATGCAATCCAAGCTGATGATGTGAAACACTGATATGAAATGCTGACAGGTTGTTGGGAGATGGGGAAATAGTATGCAATCCAGAATCACAAATCACATCATGTACCTGAAACAGCACGTCCACACAAATACTTGGCATGCAGCTTCGGAGGAGAAAGATGCACTAAACCTGACGGTGATCGATCGCATTTCTCATTTCAAACCTCTGCTTGAGCTCTGACACCAGGGCAGTGTGGGATGTGCAAGCGGTGCCCCCTTTCTGCTTTTTTGTAACCTTGGGACTTAGCAACCCCGATACGGTGGGCACTCTCCATTCAGGGGCACTGGTCTTGAATGCTGGCGCTGGAGGCAGGGCTGGAGCAGTGGGTGGTGGTGGAGGAGATGGAATCTGGAAGTTATTGTTGCTGTTCTCATTGTGTAGGCTCTTGGCATCCTCTTGGACTGTAAACTTCTCAGCAGCACTACTGGACCTCTTGAATTTCAGCCATTCCATCCTGATCGTCTTGGGTTGATAGTTCTGTCTTTTTTTAATGATCCGTCGCACTGGCATAACTTTGTTGGATCTTTTATTGCGCCAGAACATGGCAGTAGAGATCAAGATAGTGATCACCACCATCACCACCATAACACCAGCTAGTACTCCTAAGGCTTTCATTGGATTATCTTTAGTTTGCATCAAAAAGGCAGCCATAGGCCCTTTGTGAAGAGTCTGTAAAAGAGTACAAAGAGAACACGTGACTTACTCTGGGCTACAAAAAGAGATTTCACTTCCATTTGTCCATAGCATGTGACAACCAGGGTTGACTTGCATACCCGCGACCGATCTCCAATTTGGCATCTGAAATTCAGATTTAATGCCATGAAGGCTAAAGGCAATCCTTGCAGTTTGGAACTGTAGTAATTAAACAGTGGAGTCTTCACCTAGAATTTTACTGCAGAGTTTTGGACCACTCCGATGCAAAATTCTAGTTTCTGTTAGTTACTAGTGGAAATAAAGCCACTTGAAACACTGGAATGTCCCAGGATATAACAAATTGGTTTAACACTCATTTCCCCCTTCCCAAAGGAATTGTATTTTGTGAGTGTTGAACATTCTCTGTTAGAAAGCCACAGCTCACAAAACTATAATTTCTAGAATTTGGAAACAATTAAACAGATACAATACTTAGGTGTTCATCCAGCTGCATTTCAAAATCCCCCAAAAGCAAAATAAGAGAACAAACACTAACAGTAGGGATTTTTCAGCTTATTGTTGAATATTCAATTGAATGTGTTTTTAAAACACTGAAACAGAGTATGTTCTGTTTTCTAGTACTCTTTTACAGACATTGCAAAAGCAAAATAAACACCCAACACTTTGAGGCGATGATTCTGCACTCAACAGATGCCTTTGAAAATTCCTTTTTTTAAAAAAAACTGAAAAGCTAAATGAGAGGTAACGTAGTCTCTCTACATGGCATGTCGAGGGCAAAGGAATTAGCAGTTCATTTAGTAGTTCAGCACATAGTGTGCCGTGGTGGTCCCCGTTTAATTTTCCTGATTTTGGCCATGGGATGGAGCCGGGATTTTTTCACACTTTTCCAATACATGACTGTGGAGATCACCATGGTGAAAGAAATGGTGGAAATGATGCCACTCATGCAAATCCCAAATATTGTCCATGGACGTCTCTTGAGGCCTAAAATATAGGATCTTACCCTTGATTTGATCTGAAAATGTCAAAAATAGGAATATCAATCAACACCCTTGTCATAAAAGAAGCTAAAGATTTTTTCCCTCCACCTGTCCTTGTAAATATTGGCTAGGTCTAAAACAGCCATTCTCAATCTTATTTTGGCCATGGCCATAAACACACTATGAAGGAAATATAGGCCAAATCAGGGCAGTATAAGTCGCATAATGAACCTTATAAGGTGATGTGTGAAGAACTGTCTCCAGTCTGTGCCCCCCTTCCAATCTGACAGGACCCTCAGGGGGCCATATGACCCCCCGATCAGAATGGCTGGTCTAGAGAAAGCACTTGATATACAAAGACATTAATGGGAAAAGTGATGAAAGAATAGAAACAGTTTTTTGACCAGAAGCTAAAAGACTAGTCAAGCAATAAAGAGAAACAAAGGCTTCATATAACCCATACTAAGATAAAAAAGAAAAATTAGATGAATAAAGCACAGAAACATAGAGCCATGAAAGGTGTTTATAAAGATTGTTACTACAATTCTGCTGTCACTTAACAGGCATGTAAGAACACTGGCCTAAATCCAGTTGGTAATCCGAACCAGAATAGAAACATTGAATGTACTGCTGAATCTCATTGTAAAATCTTATGAATCTTATGTAAATCTCATTGATGCAATGGGTCAACTCTGGTTTGATTGTACATTGGCCATTGCTAAGGTAAAACAAGATGTACCTAGATCTAAATATGAAGTGTGGATTCTTAATGTCAGGGTTCCTAAAATCAGATACGGAAGAACCTGAAAGATGGAACCTGAACTGAAGCAAATAGAAGACACTATTTTCTTGAAAGGGGAAAGGGTGGAAAGCCAGACTCCCCCATCTCTTTTTAATTAGGACTAGCCAGTTACGTTAACTGCTGAACACCAAGGATATTTGTAAAGCCTTATATTTCACGAGATCTCAGAGGATAAATTTGTAATGGGAGCTAAACAACACCAACTGGAGAAATAATGCATTGGTGGTTTCTTTCCTAAGTGGATGATTGATTTGATGATGATACTGACAAATATTGCTCTCACCTTGTGGCATTTATATTTAATGGACCAAAAGAGTATATCTTCTTCTTCACCCATGATTTTTAATAACCACAAGAAACTGGTGGTTTACAAGGTGACAACTTACACAGAGAGCTGGCTGGGTAGCTCAGTAGTTTAGTTATCTCAGTGCAGAGTCAGTAGTTGGGAGTTCAATTCTCCACTGTGCCTTCTGGGAAAAAAGCCACTTTGTGTGGCCTTGGACAAGTTGCACAGTCCCAGGATGCCCCCCCTCCAAACAAGGGAATGGTAAACCACATCTGAACATTGTCCACCTGGTAACTGTGAAGATTCTCAGTCATGCAGGGGAGGTTATCTGGAAGTTGAGTCATGGCAACTGGATTTCTTTCTTGTTAGGTTGAAATGTTTTGCTACTCATTGAAGTAGCTTCTTCAGTCTGAGGAGAGTTGGTAGGAGAGCCCTGATACATCCTCCACATTGGTTTCACTTCCCCCTGGTCTGAATAGGCTTGTTAGATGGACAAAGGATGGAGAGGGGTGTGAGTGAAAATCTCACTCTGCAGTCCTTCTCCACCCATTGTCATGGGTTATTAACAGTCGTTAACAGTGGTCTTGCTGGTGTGTAGTCCTGATCTTTCTGGGGATGGATGATAGGAGATGGATTGTATCTAAGAGGAGTGTTTCATTGAGTGAGGGATTTTCTATAGGCACATGTATGGCTTCCCTGATCCCTCTCTCAAGCCACCTATCTTCTCTGTCAAAAATGAGTAGATATTGTTCATCAAATGAGTGTCCTGCAAAAAGGAACACTCCTCTTTGCAATGAAGCAATATAGTATATGTGGTCCAATGCGAAGAGGAGTGTTCGGAGACCTACACTGGAGAAACCAAATAGCCACTAAACAGGAGAATGGCTCAGTACAAGAGGGGTAATGCATCAGGATCACAATCAGCAGTGTTCCTTCATTTGAAGGGCAAAGGACACTCATTTGATGACCAAGATATACTCATTTTGGACCAAGAAGACAGGTGGTTTGAGACAGGGGTCACAGAGGCCCTACATGTGCATATAGAAAATCGCTCACCCATCAAGGGTGGAGGCCTTAGATACAAATCTGTCTCCTATTTATCATGCTGCCCCTTTCATCCATCCCCAGAAAGATCAGGACCACACCCAACAGAAAGACCACACTGTTAACTACCTTTAACAACCCATGACAATGGGTGGAGAAGGACTGCAGAAGTGGGATTTTCACTCATCCCCTCCCATCCTTTGTCCATCTAACGAACCTATTCAGACTAGGGGAAAATGAAGCCAATGTGGAGGATGTATCAGGTATCTCCTACCAACTCTCCTCTGACTGAAGAAGCTACTTGGATGAGTAGCGAAACATTTCAACCTAACAAGAAAGAAGTCCAGTTGCCATGACTCAACTTCTAGATTGTCTACCTAGAAAACTCTGAAAAGGGTTGCCGTAAGTCAGAATGTTCAGGACACAGAGACAATAACTCCCACCATCCCTGACCATTGGCTATACTGTCTGTGGCTAATGGAAACTGGGGTACGGTCATGGGCTGTACACTATTACTCAGAATGGCTGCCATTTCTTTGAATCTCGGCAAGAATCTCTTTGACTACAGACAAACTTAAGCAAAACAGTTATTGGAGAGAATATCCATGCTTCTGATTTCAGGCCACAGAAGCGTGGGCTTCAACATAATCTAATAAAAATATGTGTAATGAAAGACAGAGGGGAGTAAATAGCATATGTTCTTCGGCACATCTTTTTCATTTGGTCTGTAATCAATAGCATTTCCCAATAAAAATGGAATCTGTTAAATTAAATTGCCTTGGGAATATTTGTTTTTATCACTGCATTGTTCCAAGAGCAAAATATCTTTTGATGCATGAAACCACCAAACCTTGCCTCAAGGCATCCATCTGAAAGGGAGCAGCCTTGTGCTAATTGTGATGGTAAATGTTAATAAAAAATATGGCAGTTTAATTACTCAGTGTGATTAACACTGCTGGACACCTCTAGTTATATTGTCAAACAAGCTTTTCTTCAAAAAAAGAAAACAGTGCATGGGCTTGCAGGAGGCAAAGGGATGGGTCAGACACAGTGAAAAAAATGGAACATATGTATTTCACCATAGCCTGATTCAAAAACGATGCCTTATGCACATGCTGTTGGTTTTAATCAGGCTATCTCTACCAGAAACAATTTTTGAAATAGCATATGCTGATTTCTCCCCCTTCATCTTTGAAGAGGGATGTCACAGATGGGCTCATGCACACAATTACAGGGTAAATACAGTTGTCATGAAGAAAAGAAACAGGATATGCTCTGGAAAGATAAGGAGTGAACCATTACATTCAATTTTTCATGTCTTTTCCAAAGGGAATTTCGGTAAGGATAACAATGATAAGGGGATGGCAGCTTCAGGTAAAAACATATAGATTCAAAGTTTTTGGGATGTTGTGATTGTAGAATGGAAGTCAGTATTCTTGATTAATTGCTTGATGAAGGCCTGGGTGCTGGTGTAAAAAATAGATCACCACCCAACAACCATCAAATACCCTTTTATGGACTTGGTCATCACAAAGGTGATGGACAGATGGAAATCTTAATATATAAAAAAAGAAGATATAAAAAAAAGAAGTTCATATAGTTTCCTATATTGCCATCATATGTACACATTGTGGAAACATGTAAAGAAGTATCCTTTAGTTCTGGGGATAAAGAACTCAGTCAGTACTTTTTTACGAGCTGACCTGGGCCGCATGCGGTCGATGGGCCGCAGGTTGGACAAGCCAGCCCTAAACGCTTTAGGACTGCAATATCTGGCAGAGCACCTTCTCCCACCCAGTTCCGCCAGTGTCACTTGTTCCAGCCAGGCCGGGCAGCTGAGGGGTCTAACTCCAAGGGAAGTCCGGAAGGAAAGAATGAGGAACCAGGCTTTCTCGGCAGTGGCCCCTTGCCTCTTGAACAACTTGCCTGTGGAGATCCACCTGGATACCTCTCTAGGTGTCTTCAGAAGTAAACTCAAGACTTGGCTATTTGGGCAAGCTTTCTCTCCTGCTGTAACTTTAATTCACATTTTACCATCTTGGATTTATTGCATGTTTATTGGTTTTACTCTTTTTAAATTTGTAATGCCGCCCAGAGTAGACCTTTGGTCTAGATGGGCAGGGTATAAATCAAATCAAATCAAATAATAAAATAAATACTCTGTCGTCAGAATGTTTTATGAGTGGGGAGATTTTTTTTCACAAAAGGAAGTCTTCAAAAACATGTAATATCTCCCACCCAGGACCTTACATGGTGCAGCCCAAATGTATGTCAAGAGACTGCTGTGGGTAGTCTGTGTACTTTTATTTCTCTCTAGGCATCAGCAAAGCTGGAATTGTCACCAGCAGCCTTCTGAACGAAACACTCTTCAAAAGCCGGGTGCATCCAGCCTAGCAGCCAACATTCAGCAAAGGCACTCACAGACGCCACCTGACTATTCAAGAGGGGACCTAGCACAAAGTGTATCACCAAGCTGCAAGCCTAATTTTTAAAAAGGAATGTTAAACTTTCCAAATACAAACAGTGTTTACCAACTCCAGAGTGACCCATTGATCTGGAGAGCCACAAAGGAGATAAATGGTACTGAAAGCCAATGTGGGGTCCAGAAGTACAAACAGTGACATTTCCTTTCCACCCAGTCGCTGGTGCAAAAAAGTCAGCCAGGATGGTAAGGCAATCTCAAGCCCCAAATCTGTTCAGAAGCCCAGCTGAGTGAGTCTAGCCTTTGCGCTACTGAAAGGAGAACATTCTCAGCTTCCAGTTAACAGCACTTTCTTCTTTGTTTCAACACAACCACCACATATTTAATAAAAAGACTTTTTTATAAGTCACAAGTCTTGGCTTTGGTCCCATTTGTCCAATAGCCTGCCATCTTACCTCTTCCGTGATATCAATCTTCAAGACAGCTGTGGTACTAAATGAAGGAGAGCCCCGATCTTTGGCTTGGACTACCACCGACCATATGCAGTCTTTGTTGTTGGTGATGTTGTGAATGATGTCCAGGGATCTTATGTAGGATTTCAGCTTTATTTCTCCAGTGCTTTGATCTATATCAAATACATTGGCTGGATCTGCTTGCATAATGGAGTAGTCAACTATGTTATTGGGTTCTTCTGCATCTTGGTCTATTGCCTGTGGTTTTGTAGGTGAAAGAAGAGGAATATTGGAAAATAAAGTTTTATTGAATACTCACCTAATGTGGGCAAAAGGAACAATTCAGCTGATATTTAAGAATAATAACAAAACCAAGGTGGATGATGTCCTGGGTTTCACAGTGGTTTCCTAATCAAAATTTGGTAGGGTGGAATTTGGAGTAGTGTTCTGCTGTATCTTCTAAGGAAAACTTATTTAATAAAATTTTGGAAAAATCATCTTTACTCAATGCTTACAAGTTCAGATATCTTTTTAAAAAATTGTCTCACTCTACCACTGTACAATATTTCAGAAGTACAAGGATATACAAAACATAGGAAAAACACACACCAAATAATATATTTTCTAAATGTTCCTGAAAAGCCAAGTCCTGTTAATAAAGCTGCTCCTCTCCTCTTCATGTTAGAACATTATTACTGTCATTATCATTATAATCATTTCTTTGCCACCTTTTTTCTAGTGTAGGGCTCAGGGCAGTTCACAAATGATAACAGAGAGGGTAAACACAGTAAATTATAACATTAAAAAACCAGTTAAACATACAGTAGAACAATATTAAAAGACTGGTAATTTAATTAAAAAACACACTTACACACAGACACACACATAAGAAAGACAGCACAAATACGTAGCATTCTGCAGTAGAAATCTGTTGTCCAGTTCAGTTGTCCTACAAAGGAAGGTCTTTGCCTGCCACCTGTAGGGCCAACCTGGCCTCTTGAGGGAGAGCATTCCTAAAATAGCACCTGTGATATGCATGCTTTGTTGTTGTTTAGTCGTTAAGTCGTGTCCGAATTGGGGGGATGCTAAATAACTCAGTGGTTTAGGAATCTGGCTGCAGAGCCAGAGGCTGGAATTCCCCGTTGTGCCTCCTTGACTGGGGCTGGACTTGATGGTCCAGAGGGCCCTTTCCATCTCTGCAATTCTAAGTTTCATCGTCATTTAGTCATGTCCGACTCTTCATAACCCCATGGACCAGAGCATGCCAGGCCCTCCTGTCTTCCACTGCCTCCCAGAGCTTGGTCAAATTCATGTTGGTAGCTTCGATGACACTGTCCAACCACCTCATCCTCTGTCATCCCCTTCTCCTCTTGCCTTCACACTTTTCCAACATTAGGGTCTTTTCCATGGAGTCTTCTCTTCTCATGAGATGGCCAAAGTATTGGAGCCTCAGCTTCAGGATCTGTCCTTCCAGTGAGCACTCAGGGTTGATTTCCTTCAGAATGGATAAGTTTATTCTCCTTGCAGTCCAGGTGACTCTCAAGAGTCTTCTCCAGCACCACAATTCAAAAGCATAGATTCTTCACATTCAGATAATGGTTCCAGGCTTTTATTAGCATTACTGAGCCATTCCAATAGTTTTGAGGTTCCCTCTCTCTTCCCTGCTACAGTTTTGTATTGCATCGCTCTGCCCTTCCTCCACAAAGCCTGACTCTTTTTGTCCCCCCCCCCCAATTATATTGGACCTTCTTTTTCTCCTTCCCCTTCCCACATGGAGTGCTTGGTGTTTTCCATAGGCATTTCTCAGAGGTACTTCCATAGGAATGACTTATTTCAGAGAAAGTTTGTTTGTTTGCTTATTTAGTATCATTTGTAGGTTGCCTTTCAATGAGGAGAATCAAAGTGGCTTGCAATGTTAAAACATGCAAAATTAGAAACGGAATAAATGACAACTTGAAAAAAATTAAACTGTAATATTAAAAATGCGTTCAATGATTAAAAAGGTTTTAAAGGTTTAAAAACAAAGTTAGCTAAAAAAAACCAGCATGCAGAACTCAGTTATAGTAATTAAAAGCATACCTTGAGAGTTAAAAACAAAGTTAGCTAAAAACCAGCATGCAGAACTCAGGTATAGTAATTAAAAGCATACCTTGAGAAATGGGTCTTCAACTGTTATCAGAAGGATAAAAGGGAGAGAGCTAGACTGCGGTCCCGAGGGGCAGCATTCCAAAACCTGGGAGCAGCCAGAAAAGATTCTTTCCCGTGTCCCATTAAACATTCCTGTGGTGGCAATGGGACTGAGAGGAGGACCTGCTCTAAAGATCTTAGGGCTTGGACGTCTCATATGGAGAGATACAGTCCTTCAGATGGACTGTACCCAAACCTTATAGGGCTTGAAAATTATGGGATACCCTCTGAGCGCCATTAAAAATGGTGCTAAACCTGAATTCTGCTCCTGGCCATGAAGAAGGATCCACTTTACTCATTCACATAGATCACGATTTGTTTCTTGATCCTCCCCCCCCCCCATTTACCAAATGGCAGATAGTGTTTAAATCCACAGCTTCAAGAGTTTATACTTCTTGTTGGAAATGTATGCTGATTACTTGCCATTTTAATCTTTTATCAGGAAATACCACAACACAAGGCAGCAGCCCGCATCACACACATCTTTACATAGAATCATACCTATACACATAAACACCATGTTGCATGACTGACCTCCACTTTTACTGGGGATCCAATAATCATGGTTTTTTCCTGGATGTTCTCGTTGAACTCCGGGGAGTGGTCATTGACATCAAGGACAGTGATAAAGACTTCAGCTAAACTGTACTTCCCCTCTGTATCTTCTGCTTTCACATAGAAGTTGTACTTGGAGTTAACCTCTGCATCTAATGTAGCCCATGGCTGAGTGTAAATAATCCCAGTGGATGGGTGGATCAGGAAACTGGAAAACAAAGCATTCATTCAATTTACTATACTGGCTCTCTAGCAAATTATTATGCTGGGCAGTGTACAACAAATTGAATACATATCTTTGATAATACAAACACCATCCAACAGAGGCAGGATTATATTTATTACTTTCAGGGGACTGTCCAGAACACGGGACAGTTTTTCAGCCCAAAGGTACCTCTCATAGAACAATTATACCTCTTCAACTGCTATGCTGACTGTAGTCCTTTTTTTTTTTTTGGACTTATCTACCACCCCATAGCGCTACAAGCAATCTCCGGGCGGTTTACAATTTAATTATGCAGGCTACACATTGCCCCCCCAGTAAGCTGGGTACTCATTTTACCAACCTCAGAAGGATAGAAGGCTGAGTCAACCTTGAGCCGGCTACCTGGGATTTGAACCCCAGGTCGTGAGCACAGTTTTAGCTGCAGTACAGTGTTTTAACCACTGCGCCACGAGGCTCTATTTGAACACTTGAGATGTCTTTGTCAACTGATCTATTTAGAAATCCTGTTAGCTATTTCTTTAGAAAATATTCAAAAGAACATAAGGAAAAAATAGAATAATTAATGCAACACATCAGCTCAAAGCAAGATTAATACCCAAATCATTAATATATGCATTTTATATTCAAGCTCATCTTAGCAATCCAGGTTTTTGCCTGCTTTATGCTCTCTTAGTTCCAACTTCAGTAAAAGAAGGTGTGCAGAACAAGGCTACAGCTGTTGATCCATGTGGAAGGCAAATTACATACAAGAGAATGTGTTTCCTAAGATATTCAGGGTCTACTGTATAAACACGTCAAATACAAATACTAACAAACAGAATCTCAATCAGAGCACAGAAGCTAAACCTAAAATATATATCCAATATTGATGCTTCAAAACTGAAATGTAGTGTATGTTATCTATGCCCATTGTTGGCACAACTAGGTCTCTTTGGAATTAGGGATGGGAGAATCAAGAAACTGGAAATTAAAGAACAGGTTTATCTTTTTTTTGCGTAGATGCTGCTTTCAAGAGATAATTCACTATTTTCTTTGTCTCCATATTTTGCATTTTGCATGCTTTTCGTTGTTGATGATTTGTCACTGGAAGGTAAATAGACTGGCTTATTTTGTAAATCTGATTTCCAAGATGGAGAAATTCCATTGCAAAAGGAAAAATTGTTTTATCAAAGAGAATACACATTCCTTTTATCCTCTGACATGCCCCTCAGTTTGTAACACCTGAGCGAATTGGCTACAATTTGCAGAGGTTTGCAGCCACCTCCATGTGTGCATGAGCTCCAGCTGTTTTGACTGATTGGGACCATTTATCTGACAAGAAAGCCTATTAACTCATTAAATGAAAGTTCATGATTCATCTTCCCTAAGGAAGGTATTTTGTAGAAGAGGGGGTATCATCATGAAGCTTCCCTGAGCTGAGTAATTCTCTCTGTAAACCAATTTAGAAATCTTTACAAACATTTGCAAAATTATTCCGAAATGTGTGCGTGTTTTACTTGGCTGCAATGATCTCTCAAATGTCCACAGCAATTATAAATACTATGTGAATCAGCCTGTGCTCCACTTCTTGGACGAACAGTTAGCTAGAGTATGCTAAAATTCTTCAAAATCAGTTTTACTTAAATGGATGCCAACAAGATGTATCACATACCACGCCCGCATCACTATGAAAAATCTTATTTGTCTATAGTCTGACTGCCCATCAAAATAAGCATTTGCAGCCCTTCATCTCAACGTCAAGAATGGCCTTAAATTAATAGCTGCAATAGTCATTACAGAAAAATTCAGCTCTCATGCAACACCTACATCTTTTAGATGTAACGCTAATCATTATACCAGTGCTTTAGAACTTCTCTGACAATCAGTAAAATAAAATGGGGATAGGAGGGGAAATGTATGGTCTATGAGCATTTCACATTTTGTATTTTTAATCCCTTTCACTCATATTCATTCCTAAACATATTCATATTGGCTATGCTATGGATCTTCCTCAAAATACAATCTCTGTTGAATGAAGAGAAAACTACATATTTATGCAGTTTGCAAAAACAATGCACTGAGTCATGCCTCAAATAAAGCAGGTTTGAGATCTTCGGAATGCTGACAAGTGAATTTCATGCAACATTGGGGCATTTTTGATTCCACTTAGAAAAAGAAAGGTGAGAAGATTGTACTTACTTTTATTTTATTTTATTTATTTTCTGGCTTTTACCCTGCCCATCTAGATTAAATGAATCTACTCTGGGTGGCTTACAGTCCGAATATGAGACAAAATTAAGGCAAACAAACAATAGAGAACTAAGAATTGGAAGAGGGGAAGGCCTGCCTGAAGAACCAAGTCTTCAGCTTGTTCTAAAAAACTCCCAGCGAGAGTGCCAGGTGAATCTCAAGGGGCAAGATGTTCCAAAGGTGAGGGGCCACTGCCGAGAAGGCCCGGTTTCTAGTTCTCTCCTTCTAGGCCTCTCTCGGGGTCAAGCCCCTCAAATGCCCTGCCTGGCTAAATTGAGTGATACGAGTAGAGCTAGGTGGGAGCAGGCGCTCTGTCAGGTATTGAGGTGATAAATTGTTTGGGCGTAATACCTTGAAGTCAATGCGGAAAGAAATGGGCAACCAGTGTAAGGCCACCTACCTCTTTCGCTAACAGCTAGAAACATATTTTGTCTTACAACTACTTGCTGATGTGCGCGTGTTTCTCTGTTTTTAATCTTGCTCTTAGTTATGGTGTTTTATTATTGCACTTGCATACCCAGCTTGATTTGAAAGCAATTTTCTTCAGGAAGGTTTTAGATTACAACCTACCACGTTTATTTCTACTGACTACAGCCCTAGCAGAGACAATATCTTTTTATCCCAGGTCAGGTGCTAATCAAGCTCCCAATGTCAAGGTTTTTACTTTGTGAATTTGAGCATTATGATAATTCATGGTTTGTTGTCTGCAGTCTATTTCCCTCTAATCTCATGGCTAACAATGCCTCCCCTGTCCAAAATTCACATAAGACTCATGGTTGTTTTTTCTGCAACAGACTAAAATATCTAGACCTCTGGACAAAGAAAGATGAGTAGGCTTGTTACACTAGGGAACACTCACAACAATGATAATAACCACTATCTCCTAACGAAAAATGTGGCAAGGAGAATTTATACACCCTAACCTTGCCTGAAGAGTCTCCTCCAGCACCACAATTCAAAAGCATCATTTTTTTGGCAGTAACCTTCTTTGTGGTTCAGCTCTCACTTCTATACATCGCTACTGGAAAAACCATAGTCAAAGCTATTGTTTTTCCAGTAGCGATGTATGGAAATGTACTGCCTGAAGTACATTTGAGTGTAGTTTTCTATAGAAAGGTAATTAACAAATATAATAACAATCACAACTTCCTAATGTACAGTGCCCCATGAGCAGAATTTAAAACCGTAACATCATCTCTTTGGGCATTAAAAAAACAGAATAAATATTCAAAGTAATTAAAAATCTAATTATTATTCTCATTCCTTTGAAACCCCTTGATAAGCATTACAATTATGATTATGGATCATATATTTGTGCTCAGCTTTTTGTAAATACTGTACCAGACCCAAATAGTCCAAAGGTTATACTGTGTCACGAAGACCTGTGAATGTTTCTGGTGGTGCACAAATGTCTTCAGCTTCTCAAGCATACTGGAAGAGACTGTTAATCCCACTAGGAGTTAAGCTTCTGAACCAGGGCTAAAGAACCAACAGCTGCCCAGAAGTTAATGAACTCCAGTGAATGCATACCAGTAACTTGGTCATGCTGGATGGGGTTGATAGGAAATGGAGACCAAGATTAACTCTAGGGCCACACACTCCTCAGCCCTGATCCAAATTATAATCTGTTTTCTTTAAGTGCTTATTTTAAACTTTTCACCGCCTAGTGACATAGATATGATTTGTATGCCAACACAGGAAAGTTAAGGCTCATCATGGAATACAGCAATTAAGACTGTCTCTGCTCTCAAGTTACCATTTTGTGATATACTTATTATACCTATATTTTTATACTTATATTTCTTCTTCTTCTTCTTCTTCTTCTTCTTCTTCTTCTTCTTCTTCTTAATGATTGATTGATTGATTGATTGATTGATTGATTGATTGATTGATAAACACTGGGCACAGTCAAAATTATAAAAACATTGACTGGTATTATATAACAGATACAAGTTTTAACCAAAAACTTAAGCATCTGTTAAATATTGGCACAGTATGTATGCTGTTCCTAATATTGCCATTTTTTGTAGCTCTGATGGTGTGAATTCTGAGATTTGCAACTGATTATAGTAATGTGTGAAATTTCTTGATATTGTTCTTAAAGCCTATTATGAGGAGGAGGAGGAGGATTATAATCATCAGCATCATCAGTAGTAGTAGAGTAGTAGTAGTAATATTAGTATTACTATTCCTCTTCTTTGTTCCTTTTGCCATACACATATGACATGCCATGGCTGGAAACAGAACTTGATTTACTTAAAATCACACAGGAAGCCCAAGTCAGCACTGACGGAAGACAGGCTTGACTTCCTGACTTTCCATCAAGGCTGGCCTGAAACATTTTGCTGCCCAAGGCTGCTGCATCAAATGATCCAAAAGGATAATTTCAGCATTTCTTTTGATACTAAAGGGTATATCCCAGGAATCACATTTATACACCTAAAAGCATGCAATCGCCATCCCTCTTCTTTCATCATTTTATTTGATTTATTCGTTTAAAACATTTCAATCTTGAGCCTCCACAACTGTTGAAAGGCACCTCCCAAGAGAATCATAAAAAGAAATAAATTTGAAGTAGCAGTGGAATGCCTGTACTACCTTCATCCTTCTCAGAAGTGAACCTTTTCTCAGTTCCATGGGGCTTACCCCTATTCCAGGTAAGCGGGTGTAGAACTGCACCCTAAAACTGTGAACATTAAAAGACAAAACAGCAACACCCGTTTCATGCATCATTACTGGATTTGTACAGGAAGGGAGAAGCGGACAGATTCACTTTGAATTTAGCTTATTAATTAAGAATTGCATGCCATCAAGTCAACTCTAACTTAATAGCAACTTTTTCCAGGGTTTCCAAGGCACAGCATGCTCAGAAATATTTCACCATTCCATTCTTCTGGGGGTGCTGTGGGAGTATACAGCTTGTCCAAGGCTACATAGGCTGGCTCTTCACCTGGGATGCATGGTGGGGAACTGAACTCCTGGCCTCTCCCTTTGCAGCCTGTTACTTAACTCACTGAGCTGTCCAGCCCACTTACTTTGCTTAAAAGAGAACACTGTTAGCAAGAAACAGCCTACAGTCAGTTCATTACCCAACAGCACTAAAATTGTTCAAATATTTTCTTTAAACATTCTTTAAACAAATTAAAAATCTATTTTAAACTTACAGATCTGCTCCTGTTCCGTATATAGAGTATTTCATTTCACCCCAAAGGCCCGAGTCTGGGTCTGTCGCCTTAAAAAATGAAATGGAAAAGTTTTTAATTGATTGAAAACAAAAGCAAGCCAAACTTCTATAGCATGCAAAACAGGTAATATGGAGAATGGAACTACAGTTCACATGCATGTTTGCAACAATATGGAGGTAGCCCCACTTCCTAAGGAAAGCAGCTGTGGAGTGGAATTTGGAGCATGGACCAGAATGAAAAATGGTCCTTAATACTTTCCCTTAATGCCACATCTCTACTCCAAAATGCTACCAGCAGGTCCCCTACCCAGGCCTGTTTGGAGATGCATAGAAGCATAGGGAGGTGGTGGCGCTGTGGGCTAAACCGCAGAAGCCTGTGCTGCAGGGTCAGAAGACCAGCAGTTGTAAGATTGAATCCACACAACAGAGTGAGCTCCCGTCGCTTTGTCCCAGCTCCTCACCAACGTAGCAGTTCAAAAGCATGTAAATGTGAGTAGACAAATACTGTAGGTATCATCTCGGTGGGAAGGTAAAATGGCATTCCCTAGTCGCGCTGGCCACGTGACAACGGAAACTGTCTTCGGACAGGCACTGGCTCTATGGCTTGAAAAGTGGGATGAGCACCGCCCCCTAGAGTCGGACACGACTGGACTAAAAATGTCAAGGGGAGCCTTTACCTTTACCTTTACTTAGAAGCACCTTGGTGTCTTATGAGGATACCCTTTGGGGACAGGAGACTTGTCTCCATGCATTTGCCTCCATTTCAAAAACGCTGAGAATTGTGACTTTGGATTTTTGTTAGATAAGCTTAAGGAATAGGGGCCCATGACTATTAATTTAGACTCAAGTTGAAATAGCATGGAAAGAAAAAGAGGAAGCATTTCTCAAATTTTCCGAATTAGCAGCATATCCTTGTGGGGCCACTGGGGGGCTCTCTTTAGCTGAGATAGAGGTGATTATGATGCTTGAGACTATAAAAGATGGAAATGCTTCTCATTCCACCGATAATTTCTAGTACTCGGAAAATGCCTAAACATTATGGGGACTGAGAATGTAGAAAATATAGGGGATGAGTGAAAATCTAACATTTTGCTTTTTGCCATACATTTGCATCAGCTTACATTAGATGGGGAAAAATACCAGAAAATTTTTCAAGGGCATATTTGCAGCAAAAACCTTGTCCTCACTTGATATTAGCTGAACTGACTTCTTCCAGGTAATTCTGGAAGTTATAGTGTGGTGAAATAATAAGACTTCATAATTAATAATTATGCGCTCTCACATCAATGTTGACTTCTGTGAGCCCTCCGAGACTAGGTACAAATAAGTTTGAAGCAATTTACTGGTCCCTCATTCTTATGGCACTCTGGAGCTGTGCAGCTTGCCCAAGGGTGCACCATTGGCAGGGTGGGTAATCCCATCAGCCACAGACATTCAGGGTGATCTCAGCTGCCTCCCCCGCCCCCCACTCCTGGTAGGCATAGTGGGAATTTGAACTCTCAGCCTCTAGTTCTGTAAGCAGCTGCCACAATCCACTGGACTATACTCGCTGTGAGGCTTTATGTTATTGTTATTATTATTATTATTAGTAGTAGTAATAGTAGTAGAGTTCTGTCATTCTTTGCAGCTGTAAAACTCATAATGACACTAGTTTGGAATCTACAGTGTGAAAATGCTCTTGGTCATTTTCTCTTACTCTCTGCCTGCATTTCCTAGGGCACAGCTAGAGTGCTGGCATGCAGCCCAAGGTGGTAGGATGACTTATACAACTAAACTGTCATACTGCATACGCTATGCAATCAGGCTTTGCCCCTAAAAGACTTTCCAATGTAAAGCAATTGTGCGTGCTCTATTGTAGAGAAAGTGCCTATTATCTTCTCTTTCCTGGGATGATATTTTTTATGTTTCAGAGTGTGACGCAAATTTCAAAATTCACTAGCCAACTCAGTTTTATGCAGAAGTACCCCACAGTTCTGTCTGAGTGGTACTTAGCACATCATAATTTCAGAACCACACAATATGGTACAGTGGTTCAGCAAACCAATTTCTGCTTGGCATGGAAAGTTCCAGAATGTATTATTTCATGGATAGTGACAGGCTTTGATGACTGCAAAGGTAATTTTTAACATTTGCTTCAGTTTGATTTTTTTGTACTTAGATTCATCAAGGCTTTTGCTCCCAATGTTTGAATGTCCAGTGTTTTGAAGTTCTTTTAAGATATCAGTGCGAGTGGATGCAAAAAATAATCTTGGCCATAATTAGGAATACTGAAAGAACAAATGGAAATTAGAAAGTCAGTTAATGAAATAAAACATGAATTTATTGGAATGAACAAATCTTACTGTTACAGCCACTACATTGGAGCCACCAGGGGAATTTTCTGGAATCCTTGCAATGTAGTAATCAGAAGAAAACTTTGGAACATTATCATTGGTATCCAGGAGACGAATCACAACATCAGCTGTCGAACTAAACTTCTCAGGTGTGTTAACTTCTATTGCCAGAAGCTATGGAGGCAATCAAAGAACTGTCATTGTAAAAAGCATATGAGATTATAACATATTTTATAAGAAAGAATAAGATAATAAGAATCTTATTCTTCAACATAAGGAAGAATAAGGAAGAATACGATTGTAACATATTTTTATAAGGAAGAGGAAAAAGAAGAATAATCAGTAAAGCCTCAAAAGAGTTTCAGTTTCAAAGGGTTTGTACAGTTGCTAAATACTAAAAAGTTAATCTTCAACTGCCTGCTAAAATCTGTGCAGAAACTGTGTTGTTGGGCACATATTAACAAGAATAATAATTTTAAGGTCCAGAAACTTTATTTAAAACAAAACAAAAGAAAGCAATAGAAATTGATTCTCAGAAAGTCAAGGCCTCATTGCCCCTTTTTTGTGCTTATCCATCTCAGAATTGGCAATACCCATATACCTCTCCACTGCTAACTGCCTCTCCATCGTTGCTGCTTTCGATCACGTCCATTTTGCTCCCACCTATTAGTTTTTCAAAAACTGAATCTGAAAACTCAAGGGCTCACCCCTATTCCAGCCTTTAAATAATATGAGGAGCTCTAATCAGATGGTAACGATAAATCACTAGAGGGAGACGGTTAGATCATTCTGTTCAATAAGAACAGTCAAACATCAGGAATAGACATAAAATAAAGGTCATTTAAAATTAATTGTGTATAATCTATAGTTCTCAGATGGAAAATACAGACCAGCCGTCCTACATGTGTGACATAGCTAGCTTTATTAGTAGTATTAAGTTGTAGTTTAAATGTTTCATTAGCAAAATATGCTCCCAACAGGCTGTGAGGATTTTGCTACTTGCATTCCTTAAATGGTGAGTCTATGCCTGATTTTATTTCTCTCAACAGATCTGGAATATAGAAAGTAGCTGTAGATTTTGTAGCAAAGCCCTCTGGAGTTTATCTTCAATCACTTGCAAATAATAGTAGTAACAACAGTTTTGCCCAAAACAAAATGTACAATCTCATCGGGAAAAAGAATGCACTCTTTTATCTTTTAATTGGAAACATAGAATAATGGAGTTGAAAGGGATCTATGAGGGGGACGTGGTGGCGCTGCGGGCTAAACCGCAGAAGCCTGTGCTGCAGGGTCAGAAAACCAAGCAGTCGTAAGATCGAATCCACACGACGGAGTGAGTGTCCGTCGCTTGTCCCAGCTCCCGCCAACCTAGTGGTTCGAAAGCTTGCAAATGCAAGTAGATCAATAGGGACCACTTCAGTGGGAAGGTAACAGCGTTCCGTGTCTAAGTCGCACTGGCCATGTGACCATGGAAACTGTCTATGGCCAAACGCTGGCTCTATGGCTGGGAAACGGGGATGAGCACCGCCCCCCTAGAGTCGAACACGACTGGACAAAAATTGTCAAGGGGAACCTTTACCTTTACTATGAGACCATTGAATCCAATCCCCTGCTTGGTGGAGGAATACAAATCAAAGGATATCGGTTGTCCAGTTTTTTTTCTTGAAAGCTTCCAGCATTCGAGCACTCACCACCTCTCAAGGTAATTGGTTCCATTGCCATACTGCTCTAACAGGAAGTTTTCCTGATATTCAACCAAAATCTGGCTTCCTATAACCTGAGCTCATAATATTATGTATCCTGCACTCTGGGATGATTGAGAACAGATCTTGCCCCTCCTCTGTATGACAATCTTTCAAATATTTGAAAAGTTCTATCATAACTCCCATCAGTCTTCTTTTCTCAGGACTAAATATGCCTGTACTTTCAATTTTTCCTCACAGGGCTTGGTCTCTAAGCCCCTGATCATCCTTGTTGCCCTTCTCTGAACTTGCTCCAGTTTGTTGGTATCTTTCTTAAAATGTGGTGTCCAGAACTGGACACAGTACTCAGTATGAGGCCTAACCAGTGCCAAAGAGAGGGGAACTAGTACTTTACAGGATTTGGAGACTTAATGCAGTGTAAAATAGCATTAGCCTTTTTTGCAGCCACATCACACGGTTGGCTCATATTCAGCTTGTGATCTGGCCTCCTGTCCATTTGCTATAAGTTTCCTTCTTTTTCCCCAGGACCTCTCTGAGCTTTTTATGAAGCAACATTGGGGTTTTTTGGGATGTGTGTGTGTGTTTCTGTCTTCCACCCCTTTTTTCTTGTTGGAATTGTTTGTAGTTGTTCCTTTAACTACTTCCTTTGGTGTTTATACCAGCACTGTTAATCATGCTGTATTAGTATTCATGAGATGACAGCATGTAATTTTATAGCATGCATATTTGGGCAATACTTCATAACCTTCTGTGAATCTTCTAGTTTTAGTAAGGATAATTCTATGTTGCATTTCAGTTGCTCTTGCTAAATTAAAACCCGGGGCATTCAGTAAACAAAGGTCATGACAGGGTTAAAAAAGAAGGGTAATCAAATCCAGGCTTTCCCACTAGATAGAAATAGCCACACTTCACCCCCCATAGATTAACCTATATAAACTAGACGTGTGCCAAAAGCAGAGCAGGTCACAAAAATATCTAACCTAATAAAACATCTGCAAAATAGGTATGTTCAAACTAGAGACTGGAATTGTCACCTTTTAGGACTGCACCTGTAAGCATCCCTTAGCCAGCATGGCCAGTTTTCATAATAGCAGGGGATTCTGAGAACTTCAGTAAAAAAATTAAAAATAAATAAATTTCCATGCTCTTGCTCAAATGACTATAAGCAAGGAGCACACTATGGTTGCCATAACTACGTGTTGGTAGCGGCAACTGTTCCCAGTCTTGGGTCTATGAAGTCACAATACCTCCAGAGGCCTTTGCTTGAGAAAGATACCATTTCCCCAACAATAAGACCTAACATGAAAATAATCCCTAAGTATGATTTTTCGGGATGCTCATACAGTGGTGCCTTGCATAGCGATCGCTCCATATAGCGATGAAATTGCTTTGCGATGGACTTTTTGCCATTGCAAAAGTGATCACTTTTCGATGGTCTCTCTGGGAAGCGATCATCGCAAAGCCTTCATTTTCGGCCAGCTAATCGGTGGTTTCAAAATGGCCACTGGGTAAACAAAATGGCTGCTGCTGTGTTTCCTCGCTTAAGAGGCACCAAAAATGGCCACCCCTATGGAGGATCTTCGCTTAAAGGTGAGTTTTTAGCCCATAGGAACGCATTAATCGCATTTTAATGCGTTTCTATGGGCTTTTTATTTTCGCTTAGTGATTTTATCACTTGGCAGCGATTTTTTCTACATGGATTAACATCGCTAAGTGAGGCACCACTGTAATATAAGCCTTACCCGCAAAATAAGCCCCAGTTAAATGAAACCCCACCCTCTACCATTGTGCAGCAACAAGAAGAAGATGACATGACTGAATTTGAATAAACGTAGATTTTTGTACATGAAAAAAAATGCATTTTTGGATCAAAAATTAATAGAATTCCCTATCTTATTTAGGGTAGACATGGTAGGAGCATCCAGATGTTGTTGGACTACACGTCTCATGAGCCACCATCAGTATATAGTAAATGGTGAGAGATGAGAGGAGTTTTAGCTTAACAGTATCTGGCAGAGGCTCACATATTCTCCATTCCTATAGTTTAAGGTTTAGTGGGACATGTAGCTGATATAGGAAAACACCCTTTGGGACCAATGCCTCACATAAGTATATTGCACTTGATTAACTCAAATGCAAGCACAAATGGGTGAGAGTGATACAGTCTCGAGGACTTGTCCTACGACAAGTCATTTGTGCATGTGGGAGAATGGAAGGGCACACTGTTGGGGATATGCTGAAAGCTTTGGCAGGGTGGACAACAGAACCATAGCCAAAATGGAAGAAACCTTTCCTTCTAACTTCTCATCTTTCATCTGTGATTTGTGTCTTCATGGAGACAGCATTAGGAGAATTAATTTGGAAGCACACATTTATAAGCACCCCCATTTATCTCTGCTTCAGTTACATGGAAATTTAGCAGGCCTCCTTTGGTTCAGCTCTAGGGCCTGGCTCTGGAGAGGCCCTCAAGCTCATGTTGTCTTACTTCTTGAGCCAGGAGGTCCCTAGTTCAACAAGGCTATGTGTTGGTTGTGGCAACTGTTCCCAGTCTTGGCTCCATTTAAGTCACAATACCTCCAGAGCCCTATCTGTGCGATTTCCCGCTCAAAGGTTGTGATTCTGAGTTTCCACCAGTGGCTTATGGGGCTGAAACCATCTGAAAACAAAAAAAGTTTCCCCCTCCCCTGTTTATATAATTTCTAACAAATATGGGCTGAAGCAGTTACAATACCTTGAAGGTGAAGACTTGGAACTTTTCATAATCTATGGCTGCCGAGTTTTCTACTATGATTGTGACTTGTGCTTCATTTAGGACAGTCTGAGGGACAACGCGGAAAATACCACCAGGCCCAATGAGGCGAAGGTTGAACTTGGCATTTGCTCCCTGTGAAAAAAACAGTTTGGGGGGGGGAAGGAAGGAGAGTTTTATTTTATGATACCGTTTAATAATATTGCTGCATTGCTTCAGTTGGATTCAAGCATTTCGGGACAGAGGTGAGATAAATATACTATGAAAGGAAAAAGCATAGCTCCACCTCCACTACCACTGTATTTCACTTTGTGTGAAGAATTATTATATGAAAAAGCGAGCCTGCGTAAAAGCTCCATGAGATCCAGAACACTGAGGGCCAAACTGTGCATTACATGTAGCCCATCATTAGAACTCAAAATCTCTTCTTGTTCCAAGACAAGTGATTCAGGCAGACCTTTGTAATCAAGCAGTCGTTGTTGGAAACTGGGATTGTGTTTCCTTCTTCCAAAGACCAGTCATGAAACAAAGCAACCTAATTTGCAAACTAGAAGGGGACATTCTCAGCACTTCAAGAACTACCTCCTCTAATATGGGACTACCTCTAGCATATAGTTTTTTACTTTAAAAAAATCAGGGTTTCTGTTCAGATAGAGAGGCTGCCCACATAAAGGAGACAATCCTCTCCAGATTTTTGATCTTGGGATGAAGAAAATGACTTTAAAAGGGTTAGAACTAGCCTGCTCCCTTTCATAAAGTGCTCACATTAACCCTTTCCTGAATGATTAAGTTTGTACTGATGTGTACAATTGTATGTGTGCTGTGCAATGTACTGATGTGAAAGAGGACCTCTTTTTACACTCCCTCATTCATTTTGTTAATGGACAAAGAAGAGTGGAGTTATACGGTCTGTCCCCAGCTTAGGTGGGTCTATGACCTCAGCTCTGTGCATGGGGAGGAATGTGAGGATGGGGGCTTATCTGCAAGACAACTGAAAATATTCTCAGAATATGGAATTCTGCTGTGAAAATGGTTCCCAATGGCACATGTGACCTGTTCTCATACTCGGTACAATGTCCAGAAATTAGGGGATAGCAGCTGTGACCCCACTTCCCTCCATATGTGGAAAGGAGTATGAAAAGGGGGGAGTAGAAGGACTGTTTATCACCTTCTGTTCCTCAGTGGTTGGTGGAGCAAGTATTAAGGAGCTTTCTTAAGTAATCCTCCCAGCTCACAAGAGATGTGCAGCTTTTGTAAAAATAGATTTGGCAGGTTGCCACTTCACCTAGTTACAATGGAAGAACACCTACTCTCCACTAATGGAAAATAATCTGGAACGTAGATGTGGGGCTCAATGTTCAGAATGAAGTACAGTACTCATTTAAAAATAGACCATTTAAGGTAGAAAAATGCCTCTGTATTCCTTGACCAGGAATGTAGTTAAATATTATGCTATACACATGCCATCTGGGTCCCTGCTAGGGTTGGGGACTTGAGTGAATCATAGATCTCTTTGAAATATTGCTGCAGGAATTAACATGGAATTTATCATGATATGAGCTGGCTGGATAGCTCAGTAGTTTGGGTATTTGACTGTGGTGCTAGCTCAGTGGTTTGGGTATCTGACTGTGGTGCCAAAGGTTGCGAGTTTGATTCCTCACTGTGCCTCCTGTGAGTAGAGCCAGCCTGTTTAGCCTTGAGCAAGCTGCACAGTCCAAGAGTGCCCCCAGAAGAAGGGAACAGTAAACTATTTCTGAATATTCTCTATCTGGAAAACCTTGAAAAGGATCACTATAAGTCACAATGGACTTGATAACACATTATTATCATTATCACAATACATTCCAGAAATGTAGGTGCTTCCAGAAAGAAGGCTGCAACTATTCAT